CCTGCTCTGGCGAGCTTCACCCCACATTGTCTGGCTGTGCTGCCAACAGCATCCGAACTGCCATTTGCAAAACTTTAGGAGTTTTGGGGTTTAAATCGGATGAGCCAGGAACTCTCTGACAAAGCCTTCGTGTGCTGGCATGTCAGGAGGTGCCTCAAGTGGGCAAAGAGAGGGACAGACAGTGGGGCAGGGTGCTTGCCAGCCCCAGTCCCTGTCATGTCCCTGCCCTGATTCCCACAGCAGGCTCTGCACTCCTTATTTTAAGCTCTAACAATCCCCAAATCTGCTGCTTTGCCAGGGACATGGGGAAGGTCTAACCCAGGATGGTGCCTGGTCCTGCCTGTGGGCACAGGGCACTGAGTGGGTGCACTCACCCACGGGAGCACACACAGGAGCTGTGTCAGCCCTTCGGGACCCCGGCAGCACACACAGGGACTGTGTCCTCCACATGGGACCTGCAGCACCCAGGAAGGGCAGCCCAAGGGTCACCATCCCATCCCATCCTGTCAGGCAGGGACCAGTTTGGGAGAGCCCTGGAGGTGTCTCCCTGTTTCTGGTCCTGTGGGGACTCAGCTGAGCACTGGCTGTTGGTGTTAGTGGATTGTGGCGTGGGGAGAACCCATTCTCTGGCATTGGGATAGTTTGTCCCTGCAGCACTGGGGGCACTGGGGTGGAGAAGGGGCTCCTACCCCTGGAGTATGGGAGGGGACACCAGGCTGCTGCACCTCGGGTTTGGGGTGTTGTTTTCCAGGATCCCTGTGAATTCAGGTCCCTCGTTAAACCCAACGGAGGAGCAGATGATGTCAGGATGAGCTCGTTCCAGTAGGTTTGGTTTAGCCCAGTTATTCCGGGCAGTATCTGGCACTGCAGCGTGGTACCTGTTTCCTTGGAGACTGCAGGGAAGCAGAGGAGCGGCACAAACCCGGCGGCAGCACCACACAATTAGCATAAACACTGAAAATGTCAAGGGAGGCTAAATATAGCCCCCTGCCGCGGCCAGCCCCCCCGGAGCCCCCGGTGGGAGGGCACCAGGGAGCCAGCTCTGCTCGGTGTCACTCCCTGGGCAGGTACGGATGCAGACAGGGGTCAGAGGATCAAGGGTGGAAAAGACCTCAAAATCATTGAGTCCAGCTGCCAACACATGAGTTCAGGCAGGAATCATGGAATCATCAAGGTTGGAAGAGACTTCTAAGATGATTGTGTCCAGCCATTAACGTATGGATGCGGGGAGGGATGCTGGCAGGCAAGAATTATAGGATCATGGAATAGTTAAGGTTGGAATAGACCTCTAAAATCATCCCATTATCCTAGGGATGCAGGCAGGCAGGAATG